AGCGTCTAGAATAAGATAAACATTGATTTATTCAGCAAGGAGTATGGGTTAGGTTTGATTACCGAAAGGTAACCAAACCTCTTATTGCAGAGGTTGGTACGAAGTAAATTCATTTTCCTTCCAAAAACACTTCCATTAACCATCACATCACACCAACACTATAAGTATAGTAAATTGAAGTTTCAACACTACTATTCACGGCAGGTTTTCCTTAATGCCATAAATGCTGACACACCTTATTTTAATTGATTAACGCGGTTATTTTGTTGCAGATTCTTGGCTCTATGCTCAGACAATAAGGTGGCTGCGTCCCAGAATAGAACCGAGAATCAAGTAGCAAACAGATGGACGGTGTCGCTTGGACTGAATATTTCAGCAGAAAAAATACCAGAGTGACTTTGACTATTTGTTCGCAATATTTAAAATGTGTCTAATGTTTGCGTTTTTACACAAATTACCTTTTTACCTTAATTGTTCATGTGGTGTTGATAATAATGTCAAAATACAAGAGATTTACCTAAACTAGTGAAACTAAATGTAAACGACAACGATTACAATTGGATTGTTCTAAAGTCAATGTCCCAACGATCGACATAAAATCCAGTAAATGTCCATTTTACATAGGCCAAGTCACCATGTTGTTTATTCTTCTTAAATATGAAAGTAAAAGAAAAACGTTTGCATATGGTCCTCATTTTAGTCTTTTTAATTATTTTATGTTGGGGTTCGTTAATGAAAATTACCATTTATTTTTCATATTTTACTTTATGAAAAATCATTCAAGTTTCAAAATAAATTTTAACTTGAATATGTTTTAGATTCTGTTAGTTTACTACAGCTAGTATTGTACCCAGCTACAACAAGGAAGTAGTGCAGACAGTGTAATTGTACTAATGACTTCAGCACAGACTGTTGTGTAAACTAGCATGTGTGTTAGCCAGAGTATTGTCTTCATGGATGAATATGTTTGAATCGTTCATCCGTGAATACAATGGTTACAGTTAGTTTTGTTGTAAGCGAAGTGTAGTAATAATTAGCTGTGTAGGCCTTTGGCTAAAGTGATCCAACTTGAAGGTTGTTGGTTCAACAAATTCTGGACCCGAATGATGTAATTGATTATGTAATTTGGTTAATCAGTACGGCAAAAACAAAACTTTCTGGGTCCTGGAACCTAGTGGTATTATAGACAAAATCCTACACAGTATTTGTGACGTGGTCAATCTGTATAATATTCACTTCAATAAATAGCCTCTCAATCCGTAATAGAGGAAAATATATGGAAATAATAAAACTAAAATGTATAAGCAACGCAAAACGTTAGAAAAAATAATATACGTAAATTGTGTAATTGTCGGGCTACTCTTAGCCTACTTAACTTTATTTATTTGTTAAATGTACTCCACCACACAAATGATGCATTGGCTTCATGCCTGATCATAGTTCATTGTCGTAAATAAATGTTATTTTTTAATTAAATCGTCAGAAGCAATGTAAAAGCTAGCCTCTAAAGCACTGACTAAAACGTCGAGTAAATTGAAAAAAAATACCATTACTATCATGGTTATGAAGATTAAAGTTTCAAATACAAAAATACAAAACGTAACTGTAGTAGCAATAAAACATAATTTTGTAGCAAAATTTAATCAATTTTATGCAGCATCAGCAATCACATTCAACACGTTTTTTACAATAAAAAATCACTTCCTTTAAATTAAATATATTAATTTTAATTTGATAAATGGTTAGCTTAATAATATAGTTTACCTATTAACTTAAATGAGACAACTTTAGATTAATTAATAAGAGATAAAAGTGGTCTAAGTTGGCGACGGCTGGGAATGACAAGTTAGTCTCAAGATTCCAATCTTGTGAACCCCTGCTGTGATACCATCTAACCTTTCTCTTATAATTGGGCTGTTTATACGTCACAAACCTTAAGAGATCTGAAACTTAATTTTGTCTGATGTTTTCCAAATTTATTTTAAGAAGGGTCATGGGGACAGTTTCTTTTTTGAAATTACTATGTTCTACTTTTTCCAAGTAGGTTAAGTACTTTGTAGGGTTGATTTCGTTATTGGGGGGGTTATTTAAAATAACATAAGTGTCGTAAAATTAAATGTACCACAAATAATATTTTATCTGGCGTTCTTCAACGTTATTTCAAGAAGGGTAATCCACATAAAAGACAGTGTATTTTAAAATTATATTTAGTCTCAATAATTTGTCTCCATGTTGGTTACCAATGTTATAGATTTAATTTTGAAGTATTTCGTTAGCAGCTGTAAGAAAGAAAATATGCAGACCATAAACTTTAACAAACCTAACTTAATATTGTCTGTTGTTTTCCAACCCTATTCTCAGAAAGGCCATAGAGACATCTTTTTCAACATTGCTTTTAATCTAAATCATTGTTTATATGTAGGTTAACAACTTTGTTACGCTAAATGTATTTTCAGTAGCTAGTAGTGGTATTCTGTATAGAAGAACACATACATATTTTTGAGTATAAATAAATTGACTTAAATTGATATAAATTTAAGCTGATTCATTTAGTTGTATCATTGACTATCTTGTTAATCTATAAAGTTTGCTACATTTATTTAAATAAAATTTAGTAACAATATGTGAAAGCGTTCTATGTAGATGTTTTATTAATTACAGATTGTATAAGCTTTAGGGTCCTAGTAGTTTTTTTTTCATAAAATCAGCACAATAATAGCGTTCTACAACCACTTTTTAAAAAATCACCAGCTAATGTCTTTTTGACGACGAAAGCACAATTCCCCAAACAAATTTAATTTTATAACCTTTGGTGGAATGGTGGTGTAAGAGAGGTAATTAACTTTTGGATACTGAAATACTCAGTTGTTTGGTTGTAGCTAGTTTTTTTTTTTCAAAAATATAAAACAAATAAATGAGCTATTTCCAGAGTACACCAAGGTGTACAAGTATCACAGAAATAATTTATATGCCACATCAGATGTCATATTTAAAAATAAGTCGCCCCTTCAGTATGGTTATGTTCAAAATATTGACATATTCGAAAGAGATAATTTTTATACATCAGTGCCACCTTCAGTGGTGCTCATTGTTACACTAGTAACAACTTAAAGATGGAATGTCGTGTCTAGTTTCATTCAAAGTCAACGGTTGTGCCCTAAAACGATTTTCATCGGTAGATAAAAACAAATTTAATACTAACGTCATGTCAAATAAATTTATAAGGCCGTGTTTTTTAGAAGATCTCTCTCGCTTACTCCAGTATCTCTTACCTATCCACATGTGACAATAGAAGCCCTCAAGCATCAGTAGGCTGTCACATATCTTGCCACGGATGAGTTGGCATTGTATCACGTATAATAGATCTTGTGTACGTGGTGAGAATATTAACTCCTATGCAATAGCTGCAAGGTTGTGCCAAAGACAAATCAAAGCTTGCATTTAACACTTTTCCTCGTTACACGGTTAACACAATAAATGGTTATTCAAGAGATATCCGTGGTCAAACATTTGAAGTGTCAGTGTTTACTATACAGGGTGAATAAACTGAATAAAAATGGTAGCCCGTCAAATGTTTACACATTAAAAAGATAAGAAAAAATCAAGGTGATGGTAATATTGGTTACCATTATGATTAGAAAAGAGAAAGTGAGCTCTGGTTTTCACAGTTCTTAAATTTTTTGTAAACAATTCAAAATAAGGCTTCACTTGAAGGGGGTTTACATTTAAAGATTCTCATTCCCAAAATTCCTCAGTTTTGGGAGACACTCAAATTTTACGAAATCATAAAATTAAAATACCTGCTAAGACTGCTCGACCACCTAAAGTATATCTCTGTATATTTACTTACAAAAATATTAGAGAGGGGGGGGGGTCTTGACTTTTTATTCACCCTGTATTTTGGTGTATTTTAAGGGTAAGCCTACATGCGTTTGAACCATTTGACCACCTGAACATTCACGACAGAGTAAATACGTTGGAATTGTAACACTACTGTTTACGTGCTACAACACAATACGTAGACTACCAAACATTAACTTCCTGGTAGCTGTTGTTAGTGCCTATTAGGAGCTCTTGACGCCTTAGAAGAATTTCAACACGAAACGTCATTTACATATGTATAGTACTCATTGACAATTGAAAATAATAGTCTCCTTAAAAAGTAGGTTGTCACAGGTTTCTCTCTGTAAGTTTTGAAGTATTTAAAGTACTATATGAAGGGTCATTGAGTAACTATTTAGTATAAGTGTATATGTAGAGTAATTTACCTCTTTGGGATATAATCCAGATAAAAGTTATTTAATGATTGTTCAAACACTGCAAGATCATTGATCCGTTAAAAAAATAATTATAAACCAAACAAAATATACAATATTTAATCATGATCCTCAAAAGCGTACATAAAAACTTCACATAATATTAATTTTTTCCATAAAATACATACTACTTTCGTACCGGGAGAACTGCACTAAACTATAATCTCACAATGAAAAAAAACGAAACATCCATTAATCACTTATTCAAAAACTGTATAAATTTGCCAAAAGATAATGCCGTGTTTAAACAAACTTGATCTTTATACACTGCAAAGATGAACGTTTATCGTTGATCGTTCATGAACGTTTCTCATTGAAATACTATGATTATATGACTTTGAAATTTAAACAAGATGATAAGTTTTTACAGAAAAAACTACTTTTCTAATATTACCTAGTCCTGGAGAATAATTGTTGAATAAACGTTGAACTAGCAAAATTACTAGCTGGCGTTTCGGATTCGTTGCAACATTCCTTTTTCAGGGCAATCTGAAATTCTACTGAATTAAATTTCACCTAATCTGAAACTTCAGCCAGTATTTTAACTGGTTCAATCTAAAAAAATCCTAAAAATCTAAAAATCTGGTGGTCAGCTAAAAAAATTCGATTTTGTAGCTCTTAAAATTGTCTCTTCAAAAAGTGGTAGAAGATGTTTACACTTAAAAACATTTATAATACACTAACCTCCTTTGCACGGAGTTCTGTGAACACTGTGCTGAGCTCGATATCCCTGGATCATCTCCCAGTCTCCAGAATCACGTCTGATCGGGAACGCTATCTCCAGAATGTGATCACACGGCTGCATTCCCAACAAGATACCCTTCACCTTCTTCCTCTTGTCTTCCACAGACATCTTCCCCTTCATGTCTTCCACCAGCTTGTCCTCGGCGATCTGACAAGCGCGGTGGAAGAAGTACTCGACCATGTCAAAGAACCTGGGGTTCTCTGCGGTGGGGACATCCTTCAGCTTGTCGGGGAGGTTGTGAACACTGCTGCTCTGGAGAACCGCAGGGGCGAAGGCCTTGAGTAGTTTCCCCAACTCGCATGGGGAGGATCGCACACACTTGGGCACTGATTTGAGATGAAACATCGCGATCACGGGTCCTACGCTGGACCGGGAGATGTTCTACACTGAACTGAGAATGATTCCCCCCTCCACTCCCTAGGCTTTAATTAGCTCACAGCAGTAGACTCGTGTCTTTGCCCGTAACTGAGCTGCTAGCTGTTAACATGTGTTCAATCTACATGTTTGCGTTCACATAGTGTAAATGTCTGTAGAACCATTGACTATGTGATACTGAAGGGCGAACCTAGTGGAAATGTATGGTTTACAAACTAACGTCCTCTAGATACATCTTTGAATATATATTTGCAAAATGGTTTATGGAAATAAAACCATTCTAGTTAAAATAAGTACTTTGATGATCTATTAAGCTTATGCAATTTATTTCCTATTTATTTTGTAGTATTGTATAAGGATTGTAATTTGGAGTTCAGGAAAATAACCACAATAATTTAACGGATATTTGATAGTCCAAAAGTGTAGGTAAACTTTTATGGAATTAAAGGGCTGAAAGTTTGAAACTACATAAGTTATAGTTAAAGATTATGCAAAGTAGTTTTCGAGCTTGTTCTGATCGAAACTTGTACTCTTTCTAGTTAACCAATATTTACAAATGAAGCAAATAAAGCGAGGTTTAGTAAATTAAGGTTGATACAAAAACCGAAATATATTACCAATAATGCCATATTATGTATCTTTAAGCTTACAAAATCATAAGACTCTTTCTGTAAAAAATCCTCAAGCAATTTAAAAACATTGTTCTTGAGATAGCTTCACAAACAATCAAACCTAATAAAATATGACAAACTGTTTATCATGAATAATGTAAAGTTACTACGAATACAATATATCTGGATTTAACAACTGCATCATTGTATACTGTCTTTTTACAATGGTTTATACCGTTTCCCAATACATAAGAGATAGCATAAATATTTCTGCAAACTGCAGTTTTATCGTGTTATATTCACTTCACTATCGCATGCTCGGTAGTGATGGGCTATATAAGTGAACTACCAACCTCATTGCAAAGATAGTTGGCATATTGTTTAACCTTACCGCTTTTCTTTATTTGAACTGTAAAACATATTTTTATTGCCGTGTTTAATATAAATATACTTTTTTAATTTTCAGGAATGTCCATTATACGACATAAATACCAATCATGAAAAGGAGGATCACAGTGTTTTTAAAAGTCATAAGAATCATATAAAAAATTAAAAGCTAACGTAGGACTAAACCTCCAGGACATATAGGCGATTTATGTAAAAACTATGGTATACCACAGTTTTCTATCACAAGTAACAGATATAGTAGCTATGTAATATTATGTATATAGTATAGGCCTACTGTCCAATGGAGAACAACAACAACTGGTGTAAGGCGGCCAGCGTGGCTAAAGTGATTATTAACCTCAATATGTATGAGTCAACCATCCATATTATGACATGTGCAAGCTGGTGGATAAGCTTTAGTGATTGTGTCAAAAGGAAATAACAAGTAATTATAAAAAAAGCAAACAAAACTTACTGTGTGTTTTTTTCTGCAAAGATATTACAATTAATGAGATACATTAAATATTAATGACGCTCGAGTAGGCAGCTGCTAAACTATTTATGGTTAATACAAAAACATTTTCAATCATCTACCGACTTATGAAGTATATTAAAGTGCTCTGCATGTTGATGTATACATGAACAATAGAAATTTATTAGTAAGTGCGGTAATTATATTTTTGAAACACTACACAAATTTGGTGTATTTTTTTCAAAGCGTAATCTTAAAACTGTAAAACTTATTAATAGAAAGCAAAATGTCAAAAGTAAAGACTTTTTGTAATTAGTTCAAATACACAAAAACACTCTTAAGGTTAAACAGCGTAATATTAATAATTACTATTAAAATATCTGCACATTTAACCACATATTTTACGTACTAACTATAAACAAGTTTAGATTAGTAATATGACGTAGGAGTAATCATAATATATAACAGGGTAATTTAATATCAGGTCACCGAGATAATTAATTTCAATAATAACGCCAATTAGTAATTGAAGACAAATAAATACTATTTCCAACACTTAACTAAACTTTAGAACGTATTTCGAAATATATTGGCTACCCGGGCAAACAAAAGGATGCAACACATCAAATTTATCGGGACCATTTAGGGCACAATTGCTTTTATCTGGGCTAAAACTAAGACACATCTCCCTATTAAATGTTCAATGCATTTCGGATGGCAATAAAGGCATTATGGAAAACAAAACAAAGCTATTTGAAGCAGCAATTGAAAGTCAAGTGGGCAAGATAGTGAGGTAGACATTGTTATTCCAATGGTGCAACATTCTGTAGCAACGGATAGTTGTAGCACTCCGCTTGATTAGATTGAACGGAGGTGAACGTTACAGTGTTACAGTGCTTTGTGGCGATGGTGTCACGTGTTACGGAGGTTACAAGTTACAATTAAAGCATGGATCTTTTTTAACACAATTGTGATTGATCTTAGAAAATTTCCCATATAGGGAATAATATGTGCGTTCGATAGCATGACAACATTAGTAAAACCATCCGATTTTTATTAAAAAGGTGCAAACACCTGTAAAACACGTTTTAATTGAACTAATTTGCAATTCAGTGTGATTTGACTACGGAAATGGGAATTTATGGGGTAAAATTGTGTTTTAAATTTTTGATGCAAAAAAAGATTCGGTTCATTTCAAACCATATTGAAGAGCAAAAACAAATAATCCAGTGGTTACTGAGGGATAAAAAAAATTAAAATGTATTAATTTAATGCGTAGGCCTATGCTATTCTTGTGGAGAATAACTTAATTTGTCTAGTTTGCTTGTTTGTGGATATATTTTGATCAAATTTGGAAATTTGTTTATGTCATACTAAGCTAGTATTTCACTATTTCAGCTAGTATGTGTATTTCACTAAGAAATACACACTTCATAACCTTTCCTGTAGCAGCAAGCCTAAGTACTCGTTTACCCAATGTTATCTAGATACTAGCTGTTAGTTGTACCCGTGCTTTGCAACGGGAAGAGGACACAAAATAGAAACATTTTAATCTTTACATCTGTTGCATATAATAGTTACACATACGCCAACGCTTTTAGAAACAAAATTTAACTTTTATAGCCTTAATAGAAACGTTTAAGTTATGACTTATAAATCTGGTAAGTAGTGGATACCACCATTTTGGTTTTGATTAATTTTAAATCTTGTGTAGGCTGATATGAGAAAAACTGACCAAATCTTCGAATAAAACTTTGACATAGCCTACACGATTTACCTTCATTTCCCTTGATTACATATCTTTTAATTTGTTATTAACATTTTAAATTTCAATTTTCAAGTTGCAAAAATACTAATTATTAAATTTAAATGAACATTTTTTTAAATTTCACTCTTCTTTATATTAAATCACAAATCCTTCCATCTTCAGTTTCTTCACTCACAATAAATCATTAGAAAAACTAAGTCAGCTGTTTCAAATTTTAGAAATATTGCTGTGCCTTATCAATACAGTCTTTTGAAATATTAAAGAAACTATGTCTATAGGTACTATACAAATTTTTAACAAATAATTTAGCATTAAAGACAGTGGACAAAACTAACATGACTATCAAAGCATTAAGGACTAAAAAATGTAATAGCAAATACAGTATATGTTTCATTGCATCTCTGATTCTACTCTACAAAAATATCAACAAACAACTTAATATACAAACCAGTTCTTTTATTCAGTTCCATCGTCCATTGCCTTTACATTTTCACACTTACCATTAAGTAATCATAGTAACAGATATTTCATTGATTTTAGAAACAAAAGAACACTGTGTACTGCTTAGTTTTATTATATTTTCCTTGGTTTAATTTAATCAGTGGTGTGACAAAACACAAATAATAAATATATGAAATAAGTAAATGTGAATCGAAAGCTATGTTAAGATAAAATAAGAGTATTTTGTATTACCATTTGTATAGTTCCACATATACAACAGATAAAAAAAAAAATAAATGACGTACAATTTAGTAATTGATGATATTCTTTAAGCATAGGTTTAGCAAAACACAATAACTTAATTTACCTAAATATACATATAAAAAACAATGTGATGTGCAAGTTATGTTAAGTTAATCTAGCACATGTCAAGCACTTTCAGACGCTTTAAAAAATCCAAAGCAGAGCCGAAGTTGATACAGCAACGGTTATAGAATCTTTTTTTCTATAATCATTGACATAGTTTTAGAATAAATAATCCATGATAAATGGTTAGATTAAAATAAACCTACCTCATAGTTATGGAAAATATTATATTTTTAATTTCTTTGTATCAGCTGTCTGAAATTGTGAAATATGCAGTTTAGCAGTTATTCGTTTTTACATTTAAATGTCAAAGCAAATGTAAACAAACATTGTTAGTGTTCTAATCGCAGCCATGGAGACCAATCAATATTTACTTTTAAAATCCTCACATCAGAACTCTTAAAGCCAAAGGGGCTAAGCCCGCGGTCAGTGTCGAAGTGTGAATAGTCCTATAATGGTCCTTGGTATGGTAGCTATATTTTTGTAAAGTTTAAGCCCAGTTGGTTCAGTAGTTTTTGTACCTATTAGTAATACACATACAGACAGACACCATTAGATTTTTATATAATAGTATAGATTAAATAAATATCACATTTTTTCAAGGATACATTTTAGTGAAATCCCTTTCAGGAAAATATAACTTCGCTGAGTATGTAGGTTTGGAACGGCGGGTGTGTATTTTTTCTAAAGCGAAATGTTTTGCATCTCATTATATTCCTGGAGTTTTGCGGTTGGTGTCGATTAAATATTTCATCCACGGCCGATATTTTTATCAATTCAATTTGGAATGTATTACAGCGTATAATTGTCATGATTTATATAATATGCTGTATGAACCTGTGGAGTTGTTTGGTCTGCAAAATCATTTTCTACTTGACTAGGGTTATCACAGAATGTCTACCGGTACTCTTTAGTCTGTGGTGGAGTAGACGTCTATATGGAAATGCGGAAGCAAAATTTGTTTTCAAATAGAACATAATT